ACCATGCTACTCTCGGGTCAAGTACATACCAATTATAGTTATGGGCTTAGACACCTAATCCAACAGTTGGGTCATGCAACAGAGGACTGTGAGAGTCTAAAAAGGGAAAAAAAGAAAAAGTGATCGTCGAAAGCTGACGAGCGAGCGACAAAGAGAGACGATACACCAAAGTATGACGCTGAAATTGCCATGGTGCAAGGTGAAGAGGATTCTAGTGAAAAGTTGACACGGAAGCGAAAAATAACCAACATCGAGTTTGATCTTCATGATCCAATACCATTTGATCACAAAGGAACGTAACCTCTTATAATTAAATCGACGATAGGAAGAACGTTGATTAGAAGGGTCTACGTGGATAATGGAAGTGCAGTCAATGTAATGTATGAACATTGCCTGAAGGGTCTACCTCCGGATATCCAAAGATATCTCAAACCTGTCACGGTTACAATGGTGGGATTCACGAGCCAGTCCGCATGATCAAGAGGGAAGATCTTGCTACCTTTCATATTGGAAGACTACCGAGGTAACATTCGGAAAACCATACTGACAGAATTTGTAGTGGTATAAGCACCTTATCCCTATAACATACTTTTGGGAAGAACTGGTTTGTGGAAACTTCAAGCCGTTTCATCTACCGTGCACGGTCTACTTAAATTCCATATTATGGCTCGATGTTACTTATACTCGAACCATAGGGTCATGCCTAATGGTTCGAGCAATTTCAAATCATCGCCATAATAATCCATATTATGTCTCGATGTTACTTATACTCGAACCTTAGGGTCATGCCTAATGGTTCGAGCAATTTCAAATCATCGCCATAATCATCCATATTATCGCTCGATGATACTTATACTCGAACCTTAGGGTCATGCCTAATGGTTCGATCAATTTTAAATCATCGCCATAATCATCCATATTATGGATCGATGTTACTTATACTCGAACCTTAGGGTCATGCCTAATGGTTCGAGCAATTTCAAATCATCGCCATAATCGTCCATATTATGGCTCGATGTTACTTATACTCGAACCTTAGGGTCATGCCTAATGGTTCGAGCAATGTCAAATCATCGCCATAATCATCCATATTATGGCTCGATGTTACTTATACTTAACCTTAGGGTCATGCCTAATGGTTCGAGCAATTTCAAATCATCGCCATAATCATCCACATTATGGCTCGATGTTACTTATACTAGAACCTTAGGGTCATGCCTAATGGTTCGAGCAATTTCAAATCATCGCCATAATCATCCATATTATGGCTCGATGTTACTTATACTCGAACCTTAGGGTCATGCCTAACGGTTCGAGCAATTTCAAATCATCACCATAATCATCCATATTATGGCTCGATGTTACTTATACTCGAACCTTAGGGTCATGCCTACTGGTTCGAGCAATTTCAAATCATCGCCATAATCATCCATATTATGGATCGATGTTACTTATACTCGAACCTTAGGGTCATGCCTAATGGTTTGAGCAATTTCAAATCATCGCCATAATCATCTACATTATGGCTCGATGTTACTTATACTTGAACCTTAGGGTTCGAGCAATTTCAAATCATCGCCATAATCATCCATATTATGGCTCGATGTTACTTATACTTAACCTTAGGGTCATGCCTAATGGTTCGAGCAATTTCAAATCATCGCCATAATCATCCACATTATGGCTCGATGTTACTTATACTAGAACCTTAGGGTGATGCCTAATGGTTCGAGAAATTTCAAATCATCGCCATAATCATACATTATGGCTCGATGTTACCTCGACCCGATGTTATTTTTTCCTCGAAGTTTAGTTTCACATTTGGCGGTTCGGCTAATTCCCAAACATCACCATACAATGCCTCACCATACGATTCTCGGGTTAAATCCTGGTGGATCAAATTATATGCTAAACACAACATTCACGTTTGTAAGTAAAACATTTCAAGATCTGACATAGAGTTCGAGTCAATAGAAAGGCTGGATATAAGTCTTGAGCAATAAAACGGCAAGCGAAACTACAAACAACTTCCATGACCATACGAACAAGAATAAAAAGGACTCAAACATATAAAACAAAGTTCCATTATCATTTAACAAGATGCCATTACAAAATAACGAAACAAGCAAACCCGCCAAGCGGCAGGGGCAAAGTCAAAAAGTAACGATTACACCTTTAAAGCACCACTAAAATTAGCACGACCCGGCTTCATCCTCCTTGGACCAAACCGCAACCTTCAACAATTTTTTTAAACCTCCCACGTCCATTCCTTCAACCTATAGAGCAGATAAAAGGGAATACTTGAATGATGTAAGCTCGGCAAAATGATCAATAATCTAACATTGTGCATCTGGGTACGAATATAAGACACTCTTATCCTTCAATTCTTCAGGATATTTTTCCTTCATATCAACACAAGCTTGGTGAAGGTCGAGTTGGATGGCGGATGTCTGCATGGTAGCATTCACGGTGCCGAAGTCGCTTGAATCTAACAAAGCACGAACAAAAAGAGGAATACCTTCTCTCACATCCCACCGCAACTCCTCAGCTCCCTGGTCTACTTTGGCCTGGCAAGTGGCCACTTTCTGTTCCGACAGGACCTGTGCATCGTTCAACGTAGCAATTTGAGCATCCCTCTCCAAAATCAGAAGTTTCGACCAACCAACTCATCCTCCAACAACTTAATGCTGACATCGTTACTCGAACAGGCAATCTCCACTTGCAAAACTTTCTCTGTGTATTGTGACTTCAATGAATGATACTACTGAGAAACGCCTTCGAGCTCTTTAACGACTGAGGCATGATGGCCTAGAGCATCATCTATCCTTATTTTCAAGTCCTGGTTCAACTTTTTCAGCTCCTCCTGTTGACCGATAGACCGACTCAAATCTGCCACCAGACTACGGTTCCTTTATGACAAACCCGCAACCTCTTCCTTTAACTCTTTAGCTTCTTTCTTTGTTTGTTCGTGAAGGACCCACAACTGTTTCAGCCCTTCCAAAGCTTCATCAAAAACAACCTGGCATTGGTAAAGCTCTTCTGAGTGTGCTTTCGTGCGGAGGGACACCTCATTCAACAAGTACATCCCCTCCATCAAGCAGGACCGAGCCTTCTCCAGTGCTCACTCATCAGAAGCAACCCCCGTTTGAAAAGGGCTGGGAGGGACACTGGTCACGGTGAAAGGACGCTGAAATTTAGGGGAGTGAAGCCGCAAGGGTAATCAGTGTTGGCATAACGGCCTATTTTCCTGTTATAACGATAGGTGCATAAACAATAAAATAACCAACTCATAACAGAGACACAACAAAATATAAAAAGAAGGAAGAAAACATCGATTAAGAAAGAAAGGGAACATATGGCCCGACGAAGAAGGAGGATTAGAGATAATCGATTCCGTGTCCACGGTCTCGTTTCCCACAGGCTCCTCGTTCTCATTCATGCTATCGGAAATGATAGGGATAAGAGTAACAACCGAAGAATTAGTGGTTGACGCCACAAAGCAGCCAAACCTAGACCCAAAGAGCTTCTACTGGAACACAGCGGTAGCAGACAAGCTCTTAGGATTTTCTTTCTCTAAAAGAGGGATTCCAGGGGCGTTTTCAGGTGAATTCTTAGAAACATCCTCCGATCCTGATTTGGCCAAATGGGACGCCTCAACGTTACTTTCCACACGTTTCATCTCGCTGTCTGACTCGATTGGACAGTCATGTAAGACAGTGGTTGTAGGGACTTCCAAGTTACGATCAGATCCGGTAACATCAAGAATAGGAGGATCAACAAGATCATTCAAACTTTGGCTTCTTGTTTCATGACCAGAATGTTTCCGTTTGGGGGGAGACATTTGAATAAGTTGGTCATCTTGAGCACTTTAGGAATGCCTCTTTAAGAAGAATCATGTCGAGGAAGCTCTTGTAAATACTATGGGAGGTCTACCTGTTGGATTAGGTGTCTAAGCCCATAACTATATTTGGTATGTTCTTGACCCGATAGTAGCATGGTCCTTTTGGGTTCCTTCACCGGAGCAATTTGATAAGATGGATATTTGAGAAAGAGGTTATTTGTGATTTATTAATATATTATATGAATAATATATTAATTGAGAAATCATATTATTTAATTGGTATCGATCAAGAATTAATTTGGAATTAATTTAGTGATCAAAAGAGACTAATTAAATTTACGGGGACTGATTATATAAATCAGTAATACTTATAGTTTGGGCTAATGATCCATGTTGATTAAGAATGTACTAAATCTATGTCAGAGTCCATGCATACTTAGTCTAAAGGGCCTTTCATATGGATCATTGGAATACTTAAAGGCTTAAGTAAATTAGGGTTTTATGTATGAAACCCTAAGGATTCCACACTATAAATTGAACCCCTAGCCTCCTAAAATTGGCCACTCTATTCCATGATGAAACCCTAGCCGATTTTGGTGCTTCCCAACCTCTCTCTCATAAGCCTCCATTTACTTTTGGTGTTTGTGACTCATTTGAGGTTCTAAGCTCTTGAAAGGCAAGGTTCTACAAGCTACAACAAAGAGGTATTCAACTAACTAGTTTTTATGTTGTATATCTCCAATTGTATGCTAGCTAGGGTTTATGCTTTGGATAAAATGAAATTGAATGTATAACTTGAGAAAACTTAGATCCAAAGCATTTAAGGTTGTATGTGCACCATATGGTTATATAGTGCTCAAAACTCATCAGTGGTATCAAAGCTTAGGGTGTTTTCTGTTATATTGATGCATTGGTTAATTGTTCAAAGCAAAAAGAAATGGTTTTTTGAAAACTGTCTGATGACCACGACGTGGTCAAAGTCACCACGACGTGGTGTCTCGTCAGTTGGCAGATTTTCAGTTTTTTTTGCCAAGAATTGGATTAGGATCATTACCACAAACTGTTTTGACTGGTAAAAACCGTTTTTTTATTTATGATAAAGTAATGATTATCCTCATCCAATTGGAGGATAATTGTCAAATTTTAAGATAATTACTTGATTATGTGATAAATTAATTATTTCTAGAATTTGATGTGAATTACCTTTCTATATGAAATTAGTTTAGGTCAAATTTTGTGATATAGATAAATTATATGATTAATTCAATTGTTTTCAAATTTGATCTAAGAGGTTTTGAAAAGTTTCAAAATTTGCCCTCATGTTTTGGAATTTAAAATTTAATTAAAAGCTTTAATTTTGAAATATTAAATTCTAAAAACCTAGTAATTTGAAAAGGTTCAAAAGTGCACCTCTTGGTTTTGTAATTTGAAATTTAATTAAATAGCCTTAATTTTGAAATCTTAAATTTAGAACATTGATATTTTGAATAGTTCAAATTACACCCTTATGGTTTTATTAAATTAATTAAGTGTTTAATTAAAAGATAGAATTAATAAATCCATATTGACATGGTTTAAGTTTAATTAAATTAATAGTCTAATTTTTTAATAGATTAAACCACTTAGTATTTTAAATGTGTAAAATACATCCTTATACTATATAAAATTAAAAGTCTAATATATTATATATGTATAAGTTAAAAGTCAGTCTTACCGTTAGTAGACCTCATTCACGACGCCGGTCTATAAGGGGTGTTTAAGGAAGCGACTTGTAAAATGATTGCCATTGGGTATACACTCTTACCTACACACCCTTGACCAGTGGAGGGTCGTTAGCCGAACGGGTTTGATAGGACATTTAAATCTTCATTAAAAGTATAATGAAGTATAAAGTAACTAAACCTTTTATAAATTCCCAATCTTAGTTACTTTAGGAAAAATGTGAATTTGATGCTAACCCATGATATTGCACATTGCATCTTATTGGTCGTTAGTGGAGCTTGTATGGTTAACCGGCACACTAATATGGGACTAATGAAGGATGACAATGGGTAGCTCGTAGGTTATCATAGATCAATGGAGCGTGTGTGGCTAACCGACACATTGATTAGGTGATAAATGACTTCAAGAGTACCATGCTAATTTGCATGGTTATTCACACCTTGTTTGTGATCCTCGGTATCCCAGTCACAAACTTGAAGGGCATAATCTAGATTAAACATGCCATTGAAAAATTCAATGAATCTCAAAAGATCTAGGAATTTCATCTAAGACCTAATTCGTTAAAAAAAAATTGTTTTCGTGGTGGAATTGGTAAATCGTCATTTACCTACCTTCAAATAATTTGCAATTGGATTACGGCATCCCTCTTCCTAATTGTGAATTATTGTGTTGGGTCCTAGCCTTAATATTTCATTTGGTTGTTATATTAAAGATTGAATCAACTAACTTGAATTTCTCCCTTTTAAGAGATGTCTGGTTCTAACAACTATGGTCTTCCCAAATCTTTTGGAAAAAGCTTTCCTCATGAAGATGATGTTCCACGTTTTGATCAAGGAACTAGAGATCATACTTCACTTCCTCCACCTCCTCCAATAGTTCTCCCTAACCCATATGTTTGTCGACTTGAAAAGCTCAAGATCACTCAAGCCCTATTGGCAAGTAAACACAAAGATGGAAAGTCTATATGTGCTCACGTCTTGGAGATGAAGTTACATATTGATAGACAAGGAATGTTGGGTGTCGTTTTCCCAAGGAAGCTAGTTGTTGACTTGGTTATTCAGTCATTTCCCGAGTCATATAGTCAGTTTGTTGAAGATTACTATATAACATATCACGACATGACCCTTATCGATCTTACCTATTTGCTAATTGTTGCTGAATCAAATATTATTTGGCGCACTGGTAAAGCAAATTTGATTGGAAGATCTACTTCCCCAGCTGCCATGGACATAGGAAATGACATAGATAGTCCAGAAATAACACCTTCTCCTATGGGAAGGGAATTGGCCATGGTCAAAAGATTTGGCCATAAGGGAAAAGCCAGTTCTTAAATAGTTCCATGTGCGAATGCCAAAGAGTCCACTTGTTTCTACTTCCATTTGAAGGGAAATTGGAAGCGAAGCTGCCCTGAGTATCTGATAGATCTAAGAGATGGTAAAATCAAACTGTATGGTTCTTCTTCAGGTAAGTCCATTATCTAACTCTATTAAGTTCCTATTTATAGGTTCTTAATACATGATGTGATAAGATTTCATTTTGATGTGTTTGAAGGATCAAAGAAGAGAAAGGAAGCTTAAAGGAAGAGTAAGCTGAGTTTGGTCGCGAAGAGACGGATTTCAATCGCATGGTTCGATGATCAGATTTTTGACGCTACTACTTAAGAGTTATGATAAATTGCTTAGGAATATTTAGTAACATAGTTTTCATATGTATTTGCATTGTAAGGACAAGTTTTCCGCATTTTATAAATAAAATAAACTATTGATTTTGTCTTATTTTATATTTCCTCACAACGGCATTTGTGAAAATTGTTGTTTATATGTTTCTATTTATAGCAATGTCGAAAATGATTGATTCCTAGTTATATCAATTGTGGTAGTGTCGTAATTTTCTAAGTAAGGAAAGATCCTCATCGCCCAAGTTTCAATTGGAAAGAAACTTGGAAACATATGATTTGAATCATGTGATGCATGAAAATCTTGGTACTTGGGAAATTAAGACTGATTCCTTGTTTACATATGTATGTAAGTTAAGTGAAAGATGAAAGGATCTAGTACACATTGATGTGAACTGGTCAGATCCACCACAAAGAACGATAAGGCTATTCGTCATGATTACTAAAGGTTTAATAAATATGGTTATGCTTATAAGATTAAGTATAATTCTAAAACCTTGGAAAAGGTTCAAAGTATAGCAAAACGAATAAGAAGAATCAATTAGGCAGAAAGATAAAAGTTTTCTCCAATTTGTATAGAAAGGAGAGTACTTTAGTATCGTGCTTTATGATCATCCTAATGATTATGGAACCATATCACGATTGATCCTCTATGGACACCTTAGTGCATATGTATGACTAAGAAGAGGAATCGAGAATTGTTGAAATGGTTAAATCAAGAAGGTGAGTCATACTTCGTTCCAAAATCAAGTCTTAGAGTGATACTCAGAGATTGTATCTTGAGTGACATATCCTAAGTAGGTTTATAAACACATCATGAAATGTAGAGTAGAAAAGTTTTCTTACTCATGAACATTTGAGATTGGAAGTTGTGATGTTTTGAATAAAACAAAGACCAAAACCAATCGTATGAAGTGTTATTCTTGATGAGAACCCATACTAATTCTTGAATATTAGTTTGTCGAGGAATTTTCCTTAACAAGAGAATCTTATATGTCAAGAGGTCAGTGGGAGTCTTAAAAGATCTTGAAAAGTTTCAAGAACTAATCAAGAATAAACCTATTATTTATCACTAGCACTCTACCTGAGGTTTGCAACCTATCGTGTTGATACATTCTTGTTTCTGTGCCTGTTCCAATTAATTAACTATGCATGTGAGTTCTATGAGTTCTCATTTGATTGCATAAGGCAAAGCACCTTGGTCAATGAAAG